TGGTTTACCCACTCTTGTAGGTAAACAAGCATTAGTTTGTCGACTCGGATGATGGCTTTTAACCCGCTCATTTTGATGGAGGCATCTCAGTCAAGTGAAGACAGCGAATATCGTTTCTTCTCAGAGGTGGCTGCATTCATCAAACGTGTGTCGGGGAATGTCTAGAAACTCATTCGTTTTGCAGCTTCCGGTGTGTTTGGAACTGATCGTCCTTACCGGACTACCCAGTTCAACGCCTACACCCTGCTCGACCGGTCATCAGAGGAGCCCAGAAAATCACCCAGTTTTCTTGCGTCCCCCCCGAAAATCTATGAGTTTTTCTCCTTTCCTTTTCTTAAAGTTTATCCATATTTGAAGGTGACGATCCTAGCTTACGGGATAAAACAAACTCCGGGGCGACACGTTAGAGTTTCTGGACCATCGTGATGGATCAAGCTTCCCAGTTGACGTCAGCAACGTGCCTATGCGTTAAAGCTTCTAGACAACGAACCATAGGCCTATTGTGTCGACCAATCAGAAGCTGTGCAGCCCAGACAGAAGCTGTACGACACCAAGAATATGAGCACGCGATTGGTAGATGTCTGGATAACCAATGAACTTCTTATGTACGCGTTATTTAACCCCATTGACTTCTTTCAATTAACGAACTGCTATTCTCGTGGATTTTTCCTTGAGTCTCGGTTTCGAGGGATACTGTCGTGCAAGTACCATTGTGATTCTGTGGCGTTCGTGATTCCTAATACATGATTCATAGTCCGTGATCTGTGCGTAATTCAACCATTACATCGACCTGTCACGAGCTCGGTGAATATGCGTACTGGACCATTCCCTTGCAAAGATGAAATAGCTGTGGGTGATGTTAAAGGCGTTTCCGAGGCATCTGAAACCTGTTTGACGTCACCTAGTGATTAATAACGGCATCAACGATTTTGAACTTGTTTGTGAATCATACTGTCCCTGTCCTCTGTTGTGGCCTATGTTACGGCGATAAAAGCTGCAGATGAACATTATGACCGCCATATATTGTTCACGGTCTGTGTAACATACATCTGTAAGCCGTTTCAATATTGTTTAAGGCCATTTCGATCCAGACTCCGTCCGCTGAATTCCTGCCATTATTGTGTAGTAATCAGAATGCACACGAATCACAGAATCGCACTAGGGATTGTCTGTCAAACTGTACCGTCCACGTGATACAGGAAGAAGGCCACAGAAGTGGTCATTGGTTCATGATGAAGAAATCAACGGGGTTACATAATATGTTTACGAAGAAAAGTTATTGGAGAAACATATTGATTCAAGCACCAACTTTTCTTGTCTTTGTTTCATAGATTCCGTTTGAACAGAATGTCCTGTGTTTGATCTAAATTGTAACTTGTGATTTGTTGCCCTCAACTTGTAATAGGTGTCCTCTTGGTTGACGTTATCTCGGAAACTTGGACCACCCGAGAAATCTAAATAAGCACTCCATTAGGTTGATCTGCGGAAGAACTTGTTGCGTAGACATTCCCTAGTCTGGAACTTTCTCATTGTTGATATTAAACTAAACTCGGTGTTAATAATCGGAAAGCAGCAATGACAGAGAAGATCAGAGCACTTCATTCCATTCTTGTTAGGGCTCGTCAGTATTGCGTACTACACTATTAGTAATGAGCAGCGATTTCCAACTTGGGGACCTCATCTTGTTCTTCAGTACTTCTGGGCATAAACTACACTACATGAGTTGGCTAAGTGTTTGACTGGCGTGCGGCCGTAAGATTTCATAAATTTACGTTGATCCCATTTGTGCATAGAGCCTCTGAATCTGTCTGTTGAATAACTGGGTGATTTGGTTGCAGTATATGGCTAATAGATTGATTAAAAAAGACCAAACGTACCCATCGTCTCTGCGTTTCGATGGGACTAAACAGGCCACAACGCTCTTTGTGCTTTAGAAATAGACTCTTCACAAACTTAAGTGGACTGTAAGACCGATGTGAACTAAATACAGGCGACTTAGCAATTATCCATCAATTGTCATTGTCCAAAATAATGGTATCTCGTACAAACTGAGTAAAGAACACAAAAAGCAGTTATCTATAACTTTCAGTTTTATGTGCATCTTACAACAAAATCCTTTCGATTACTACACAGGAAATAAAAATTCTTAAACATTATGAGAACAATCTTTCTAAATAATCTATTACCCGGGTGACAAATATTGATCAAAGGTTTTATTAAACTTAGGTTATGCCTGTCAAAAGAGGCGGTGGCGGCTCAGTGGTTGGGTCACCAAAGTGTGTCCAGGTGGTCTCGGGTTCGAACCGCCTCCCGTAATCCATACTACTCTATTTTTACAGGTAACCTTTGTATGGCTGTGACCCCTTTCCTGAAAATTGACTGTATATTTGAATATTCAATAAATTAAAAAGGATACAATCACAAGTGATTTCGGTGATGTGCTCGATGGTTCTGTGGTGAGGCAACTACATTCCAACAACTCTCCGTGATCGCCAATGCATTTTCATTCGAGTAGTTGTCCTGATTCTCTGAGGCCTGGATTTGCAGGAGCTCTTTAACATCATACTGGATTAAAAATAAATTCTTTTTCATGGGGTCTTAGCACGGAGGAAAACTTACAGCATGGGTTTGAGTCAAATCCACTTCTGCTGTTCGTTTATGAATTGAGACCAGATAACACAAGATAGCGAATTGCGAGTTTCCTTTTTACCGCAATTAACTTGGCAGAAGAGAAAGCTCTATAATATTTCTCAGTCTTCTTCAAATTTCATGTACGTACAGTTAGTTTGCTAATTTAATTGTTTCCATTCATTCGACCGATACCATATATTATCTTTGATAGGCGTTGTGAATGTTTCCAACAGAGTCATAACCCCGGAGGCTATTGCTGAGATGAGAGAGGTCCATGGCCCGCCACAACCTCTCAAAGATTTGGTTGTGCCATATCGTGTAAATGGAAAATGAAAAACGGTCGGATCAGGCGCCCGGCGACCGAGTGGGTAGCATGCTTACTTTCTACCTGTAAGGTACAGGGTTCGACTCGACCCCCAATTGAAATGATGGGTTCGGATTGTTGATGAAACTCAACCAGATCGAAACAGCTGTCCATTGCTTCCTAGATTTTCAGCTAACGCTTTATTTGCTATATATATATATATAGGGAAGCAATGTTTTCCCGTCACAAATTTGAATAGAGAAGTCAGAAACATGGGTTTGCACAATGTATCC